GAATTTCGTGAAGAATTACTTGGAGATCTTGCACTTGACTGATTACTATTTTGGAGTCCACCATTTTATAATTCAAGAATCGATCAACAATAATTTCTTGGCCCCGACATCCTCAATCTTATATTTCTGGTCCAATGACTCCCACGTCTCTTTAGCAGTTTTCATAGTATTATACACATTATTTAGTGAATCTGCTAAATCGTTCATGATGTAGTTTTGGCACAAAAAATCATAATGTTTCCACGCATCAAGTGCACTGAAAACTTGAACATCTCCCTTACCCTCTTGGAAATTTGGATCACTGTTAGTCAAGAATCTCGCAAGATTCAAGGTGGTTGGATAAAACAACATTTTCTGCTACTATCTCTTGAAATTCAAATCCGATTTTTCGCCATAATTAATCGGAATAGTAACCACAGTTTGGCTCACAACATGACTTGGCATTTTAGCCACGATCTGAGCCATAATAGAACTAGGCCTTGCAGCCATAGCAGAGTCCACAGCCACAGTTTGAGTAGCCACAGCCTGGGATACATCCATATTGGTAGAATCGATTGCTATTTCTGAAATGAAACAAAAATTAGTTTCTGAAATCAACAATATAAGAAACTAAATTTTTTTTTCCAATTTGTTTTAAGTTTGTTGTTAGTATATTTAAGTGGATAAATACCGACTTAACGAGTAAATATTGACAAATAGCGTATTTGTAGCACTGACACCCTATTTGCAGGATAGATACTGTATATGCAAGATGGATACCGTATTTGTAGGACAGATACCGTATATGCAACTTAGTGGATCAATGTACACATACCGTATATGCAGGTCATAGAGACACTGTATTCACATGTAACAAATACCTTATTAGCAACTTGCAATAAAATAACATAACAAATAATTTAAATTGCAGTAAAAGAAATTTCAAACCAAGGTCTGTGCGAACACAGTTTCCTTAAAATAGATTCGTCCCCTCACCGTACATACTTGAGATTTAATTTGAGCGTTTGTTTCTCAAGATACAATGGTAAAGCAGTAGAATCTGAGCACTAAAGATTTTACTCCGGTAAACTGATTTAGTACCCGAACAATATCACCACCAAGAAAATCGAAACCAGAAAATTCGACAGAGATACAGTACTGTAAACTATGAAAATACAGTATGCAATGGTCAATCCGGTCCGACATTCGTGTGCGCAGGTCGCACTCGCATACGATTTCAAGGTTTGAAGCCTATTTCGGTCAGTGATTTGCACCCCCTGCGCGCGCATGGAGAGCGCTTCTATGCTACACATGATCAGTGCCGGTCCTGTCTTTTCAGGGCTCGAGGCGAACTCCCAAAATTGGGCCCCCGGAGATCAACGTAAATGCAAAATCCAACAATGCATTATCTCAATCTCACAATTAAAGTATTCAATACAGTGAGTACGTGCGCCTGTGCAATTGATCCTACTGACTACAATGAACATTCATATAAGCTGACCATGCCACAATTGTATAAGCCGACAATGTTTCAAACATTTTTAATATATTC